AGGAAGGAAGGAAGGAAGGAAGGAAGGAAGGAAGGAAGGAAGAGGCAGGGAGGGAAGAAGGAAGAGAGAGAGAGAAGTTGAAAGGAAGAATGAATGAACAAACCTAGGGAATTAATGCAACCGTAATTCACAGTATTTTCAGTGTTTGTCATATGTCTGACATCAACATAGGAATTGGGAAAGAGGCAAAACACAAGATTCTGTGCCAGCTTAAAGGCAGGTCAGTGTGATGTTTGTATACACAATTAGGACTTTGTATTCAGGAGGCCCTAGGTTCCATCTCACCTTTGCCACTATGAGGTTCAAAATTAGATAAGATTCTGAGATTCATCTTTATCATCAGTACCTGAAGGAATATTAACTACATCTTGTGTTGTGCTGCACATTGAGTGAGAGGATATAAATTAGAAAATGCATTATATTATTGTTTTAAATTTCAATCCAATAAATGTTTGCATTACCTCCTACTATGAACAGATAAGGGGGATGCAGGAATGCATATCACAGAGAAATTCCCCGTCAGGAAAGAATACAAACTTTAGACAAGTAATTCCAAGTGCAAGGTAGTGTTTGTTAGCAATAGAGGTAATACAGAAGCTTTACTAGAGTCCTCACTCTGCAACTTGGGTCAAGGGGTGCAATTTGGGTTTGAGAACTAGATGTATTTCCCATCCAAAGGTGTGTCTCTATGGGTTCTCCACTGAATGAATGAGTTACCAGTGTAGCAGAGCCTGAGGCAATACTTTCAGTGTGCTCCTGCCTTCACCACCAGTGCCATGTGGACATTCAAGGTGTGGGCCTGGGCATCTACTTGCTTGCTCAGATTTCCCAACTGCTCTCTGCATGACCTTGCATAGGCCACCTAAGTAGGTCCTTCAGGAATTCCCTGATCTTAAAATCTTTCGCTTAGATGAACTTTGGTATTTCATTGGGCTATTTTTCACATGTGCTATACAACCTCAATGTTGGAATTTCAAATCATCCACATGAAATATTCTTTCTTCTTGGTCTTCTTCTTTTTCCCTCATCCAAAGTAAATTTTCAAGTGAAATCCATATCCTACTTGATTTTAAATTGTCTTTCCTTGAGCTCAGGTGATGTCCTATCAGGGAATACAGAATCACTTTAGTACTAGCTTAACACTAGAAATTGTGAGTATAAATCCAGTTCTAAGAAATAAACAATAAAACATAGTTCATCCCAAAACTAAGTTGAAAAAGTTTGGGATGTCTATTTTATTCATATTAATTCTCATATATAATAAATTATATTAGAAGAACAAAAAAATCCTTTTATATCTTATAGTGACTTTTTTCCTACTATTATTCCTTAACAACAGTGGTTTTTATAATTTTTCCCATACAATAATCAATTAAATTTAATTCAAATCTGATACAGTAGCTTATACCTTAATTAAATAAATATTCATTGAGCTTACTATATGCAACCTAGCTACTTCAGACATGTAATGAGCAATGAAATACATGAAGGTCTTATGTTATAATGGGAGAATAAATACATGTTCCCAAATAGCCATTTAAAATTAATGCTGTAAAGATTATTATACAATTATAAAGAGGAATAAGGACTTGCTGGATATGCAGCCAGGGAATTATCTCCATGATATATTGAATAGCATGCTTTTGTTCAACTAACAAACAGAGAAATATGAATAAATGTACACATTTGTTTATATTAAAAATTGGAAGGATTAAATTATAACTTTTAAAAGTCAATACGTATGGGAAAGGAGATATGGGTGACTATAGAAATAGAAGATGGGCTTCTGTTAATGTACTTTGTTTTGTAAATGGATCTTTAGAAAAATGTAAATATGTAAATATTAAATAAGAAGGGCATGTGCTGTGATGAGCATTGGGTGTTATATGCAACTAATGAATCGTTGAACACCACATCAAAAACTTACGATGTACTATATGCTGGCTAACTGAACATAATAAAAATAAATAAATAAAATATGTAAATATTTCATAGAACATTAAAACAAAATTGGATTTAGAAATCAATTTCTTAAAAAGAGAAATAAAAGCAAACAAATAATTTGCTTTAAAGAATGAGTTGGTGGCATACTTGCATAGGGATGCAGTCACCTAACTATACATTCTTGGGGAGATATATGTTAAGAAAAATGAATTGCCCCCAAAGTGTGCTACATATTACTAAAGTTTAGAAATCATACTGTTGGTAGTAATGTTAATATTCTTACCCCTTTTTTATTAAAAAAAATGGTTTGGGGGCACTTGGGTGGTTCAGTGGGTTAAAGCCTCTGCCTTCTGCTTGGGTCATGATCCCAGAGTCCTGGGATCGAGCCCCACATCAGGCTCTCGGCTCGTCAGGGAGCCTGCTTCCTCCTCTCTCTCTGCTTGCCTCTCTGCCTACTTGTGATCTCTGTCTGTCAAATAAATGGATAAAATCTTTTAAAAAAATGGTTTTAAGTGGCTTTTATCTTATGCTTTTCTTTCTTAACAGTTCAATTTAGGTATAATTTATATATAATAAACTGCACGTTGTAGGATTTGATAAATTTTGATTCATGTGTATAACCATGTAACCATAATCACAATCAAGAAAATGAACATGCCCATCACCCCTAAAATTTTCTCCTGTTCCTTTTTAATGTCTTTTAGTTACACCTCTCCGTACTCCCCCTTTCAATCCCAAGTAAACACTGATCTGCTTTTTATCACTATAGATTAGTTTGCATTTTTCAAACATCTTCTATAACTGAAATCTATATTATATATTCTACATTGGAGGGACAGGGGAAATTATCTGGCCTTCTTAATGCAGCATAATTATTAAGACTCTTTATGTTGCTGCATCTATCAGTAGTTCACTTATTTTCATTGTTCAGTAGAATTCCACTGTGTAGACAGACCAAAATTCATTTATCCATTCACCGGTTGATACAAACTGATGTTATAAACAGTGGCTGATCCTCCAGTGGTGGGTCCCATAATTCCCATTCACCTTAGCTGGTGTTTGATGGGAATGCTGAAGATGTCCTGAGAGTTTTTTCTCCCCCTTTCTAAGAAGAAATGAGACTTTCATTTCCACACCAGTTTTCTAACCATGTCTATCTGCTGCAAGGACATGGGGAATATTAAAAAGAAAATAAAAGTCAGTAACATAAAATAAGTAATGGAAGAGACTAAAATGAGAAGTAAGATAGCCAAAGAGAGGGAAAAAAAAAAGGAAGAATAAAGAATGGTGCTAGAAAATAGTGAAAAATTAAATAAAATACGGAAAAGTGAATATACTGTAGAAAGGAAAAGTCTTAGGGTACCTGGGTGGCTCAGTTGGTTAAGCATCTGACTTTGGCTCAGGTCATGATCTTAGGGTCCTGGGATCAAGCCCCAGTCAGCAAGGAGTCTGCATGTCACTGTCGCTCTGCCCTTCCCCCCCAACTCATGTTCTCTCTATCTCCCAAATAAATAACTAAATAAAATATTTTAAGAAAAGAAGAATGGGTAAGTCACAGAATTTGGGCATTATTCCCTTTAAGGGTCTAGCTGATTCATTGATGAGGACTTCTCCAGGAGAGTGGTATGGCAGGGAGGGAAGAGCACAGTCAGCCAAGAAATCCTTTTATTCACTACCCATATGCTCTTGAGTCAACTGCCTAAGCTCCTCAAGTCCTCTTGCTTCGGTAACATAGGGATAATCATAATTTTCCCAGATGATTGTTATGAGGATTAAGCAAAATAAAATAAGATATATGGAAGACCTTGTTGCTGAATCACTAGTGATCCCTATTCTACTCCAGGAGATGCATTGAAGAAACTTAAAGCTTAGGAAGAAATAATAGAATTCTTAATACAGAGTCTATTGGCAAAAAGTTTGAGTTGAAATGTGTTGGGCAAAAGCAGCAATTTATTCATGTCTTACAAACATGGTCTTACAAACATCATACAGAGCTGGCACAAAGGAACAGACACCATCTCATACACCATGCTTCCTTCCAAATCACTTCTATTGAGTCACAACATCAGAACAAGTCAGTTACTGAGTTACACGGTTCTTCAAACACAGAGACCTCCCCATGAGGGTGGTTAGATTGGCTAATCAGACAAACAGTTAATTTACATGTTTCATACAGTGCAGGATTTGCAACAGAATTCAAGATATTCACACTGATATTGTAATACATTATAAAACAGTTTAATTTTCAGAAGATGATGGGATCGCAGATGTCCCTGCCTGTTTCAATTCCTTTCTAGTTTTCCTTCTTTCTTTTCTTAAAAGCAGTTACAAAGAGTTTTACTCAACTTTTCACACTCAAAAACACTTTTAAATTTTAAAAACTAAAAACTATTTACAAATTATTCATTGTAATTTTAAAAGTATTCATTGTTGGTTTTGCTGTTCTAATTAAAAAAAAAAAAAATCACCCTCCAGCAACCATATTTTACTTGGTACCACCATTAACTTTTGGCTGCTGTGAAGGATACTTAGAGTTGACTCCTCACAACTTTTCAGAACTCCAAAATAGACTCTACTCCATGGCCCATGATAACAAATATACATACAATAAAAAGGCCATCTGACCTCCCCAAAGCACACACTGACTACGATTCATTTTGAGTTGCTTTTATGGAAATGCTGTGAGGTGACCTTCTGGTGGATAAAGACAATGATTAGGGAATACACTTTTTTTTTTTTCCCAAAGTCATCTTAAAGCACAAAAAAGAGGCTGACTTCGATCTTTGTACACATACAGAATGTAAAACATTTTCTTTACATTAGGCATAGTCATAAAAAGCATGTATGTTGTGAAAATGCATTGTCATAGAATTTACAAACACTGAGATATCAAACACATTCTCAAAAACAGCTAAGGTACTGACACAAAACCTGACTCAAAATGTAAGTTTTTCAGTAGACTTTATCTCTAACTTGCATATTTAATAATTCGACTGTGTCCAGTTTCACTCACAGGCTCTAAAAACTCAAATATGGTGACATGACCCCAAATTCGTTCTTTCAGGTAATCCCAGGGTGCTGTTTTTCTCGAGCAGGTTTTCACAATTTCAGAGCCCTGGCACTGGCAAACCACAAAAGACACAAGTCTATAAACTGCTCCACAGACAACAGCTCAAGACAAATTAGCCTAGGAAAGATAGTGAAACATACTTTGTTGTGCTAATTTGACAGCCTAAATAGATTTTGTGTGAAAACGTGTAAATTATATTAGGCTTTGCTGTATAGCTATTTTTCAGGCATTACTTAGTTTCTTGGTTTAGGTGATGCTTTCTGTCTGGCAGTGGTTAAAACTTCAAGCCTCTCTGTGTCTTTCCAAATAGTAGCTTAGTCCTTTCTGGGGGAGGACAAGCTGCTAGAAGACTTAGTCACGTCCTTTCTGTAGACGAGGGACGGCCTTGAATGCACACTTGTGTACCGTACATATTTCTTTTCAGAAAGCTGCATTTCTAACTGGATTTCTAGCTGAAGTTTATTTCTTTATCCACTAACTAATTCCACAATTTCACAAAGGTAAACAGGGCTTTCATAGACTACACTGATGTTTGCAAAGGGCAGTGAATAATTCAAGGCCGCAGTTCTTATGTGAGATCGTATTTTCTAACAATCTGACTCACATATAACCTTAGGAGGGAGAAAAATACTTATTTCAGCCACAGTGTTCTCAACTCAGCCCTTTAATAAAACGATTTCTCGGCTTGTTCACTGTCCTTTTGAAACAAAACCAAGTTACTCCTGGTGTAATAAGTTGTATCAAATAATTACAAAGAGAAATGACCATACACTTTTATATGCAAGACAACCATTTGCACATGACATAATGAGTAAAAACAAACTAGAGAACATTTCTTTAATATCTTTGGATTGAAATAAAAATTGATTTCCCCATCTGAAGAAAAATGGATGAATTTTCATAAGAGGAAAAAGTGCTCTTCATTTGCCAATCCTAAAAATCTCATTGCTTTCCAGTGACATGTTCCCACAAGATCATCACCTTCTAAACCACATCTATCGCTTGGGATTGCACTGCAGGATTCATAAAATGCTCAGCTACTCTGGTGATCTGTAGAGGAGACTGAATAGCTCATGAAAATTTATCCAACTTCTCTAATATTGGGGGAAAATATCATGATACACATTTACAGTTACTTTCTGGTCTGCTAATTCAATCCATTTCAAACAACAACAACAAAAGAGCAGCTTGCTGTCACAAGCTAGTAATCACGAATCAGGAGAAAAAGGGAAAGAAAATTGCTCCTTTCTTAGTAAAAATCATTAAGTTCCAACTTATCCTGGCTAGGACACTACCCATCACAGAGCATATGCCACTTGGCAATTTGTCTCCTGGGATAGTCACAGATCTCTTTCCAGTGCTCTCCACCGGTTCCTTCTGCAGCTGCACCCAGGACCAACCGCCCTATCACCTCATTTCTGGACCCCCTTTCAGAATCCAAAACCAGAAATTCAACACTTATCTCTTCAAGACCCTCACAAGGAATATCAAAGACAAACAGTTCATTGAACACCGCATTGGGGGTGCATTTCTTCACATGAGTCTTCTTTTTTGAGATTCTCTTTTTGGCATGGTACAGGTTCACTTTCACGTAGGGATCTGCAATGGTAAATGACAGACATTATCCTGGCAGAACCTGGCTGGAGAGTTGCTCTTAACATAGTGGTGCCATTAGAGATTGATGCATGCCAATAAAATGAGATTGGAATGAAAAGGTGTCAGAACAAAGTGAAAATATGGATCAAGCTTGACCTCTTTATTGTCAACAAAATGAAAACAAGTAAGAATATGCAATGTGAAGAGAAAACAGTTCTAAACCATAGGATGGGAAAGGAAGTATAATGGCAAGAAGAAGAGATAATTAAAACAACAACAAGAACAACAACAAAAACTTCTAATGGCTCATTCTGATTATGTATAACTCAGTCCAGAAAATAAGATAGAAGAAAAAAGCATTAGACAAGACCTAACCTGATTGAATTGTATGCCTTTGGTAGAGTCTCTCTACCTCTCTACTTTTCTGTTGTACGGGCATTTAGAATTCACAATGGCAATGTCCTTTAGTGCTTTAAATTTTGTGCTTCTTTAATCACCAGCTGGGTTTGCTTCCTGTTTTCCAATGTTCATCTTCCCTGTGTCACCCTTAATGTATGGATTTTAGGATCATGCTACCTTATCATATATTTAATTATATTATTTTTGTCTCTTTCTGGTTGAAGCATGTGAGTTCATTTGAATGTTCTAATCCAAAACTTTAAGATCATGTCTTCAACTGCCATTTAATAAACAATAGTAGTAATAATCATAGAAATAGATGTTATTTAATGAAGTTAATTAAAGACTATATCTTTCTAGTCTTCACAATCCCCTTCAAGGTAAGCATTATTACATCTAGTTTGTACAGAGATTATGAAAGACAGCCAAGATTTTATACTAAAATGGAAGGGTTAGAATTTGAACTCAGATCATTTTACTCCATAGTCATGTATTCTTTTCACTGTGATACAACAAGGAATTTTTTTTAATTAGTCGCAAAACTAAAAGCTAATGTTTAAAGCAGATCCTTAAGGAATTATAGGAAAAATAATAAAAACAACAGAAGCATGATTGTAGTCAGGCTCACCAAAAATACTAAAATTAAGAACTCTTCTCTCAAACCATTAAGAAATTTTTGGCTATGATCTCTTACCTCAGCATTTATTACTGTTTTCTGCTTCAAACCCATACAGTCAGATATCTACCATGTATTAGCAATGGCTTAGAACTTAGGCTAGATAGTTTTCTTTTTCTCGCTAATGGCACTGGCTCACATTGTTATTTCATTAAATGAGAAACAGAAAAACAATCAGATCACTTGTGCTTGTGAGTAAAAGGTAAATCAAAGTCATGTTAGTTGCTAACTATTTTGCCCAATGTATTACTTATACACTGAGACTGAATTTTTCAGAAGCATTCTTACCTGAAAGTCCAGACACATCAGATTTAGGCAGGTGTCGAGCTTTTAAAACAACCACAGTGAGAGTATTTGTCGTGGACTGATAGCAGAGAGAGATCAGTAACTCACCCCGTCCTGAAGACTTCTAAACAAAGAGAGATGTGGTATAAATATTTGTATTATTTTTCTTGTTTTAAAATTCATACTTATAAAATATTTTAAAACAATACAATATTGTTATTTAAATGTAGTTTTCCTACTTATTTTTATTTTAATATGCTAAAGAATTCAACAGTAATCACAAGGTTTTGTTCTGTACCATCACCTTCTAAAAACAACTGTCTGCCATCTTGTGGTGGTTTTAGGTACTACCGGATATTAAAATTTGTAATGAGTTAGCCACACCCATTACTAGACATCTTTAAAAAGATATTGAGAATACAGCCTATACTGAGGTATTGTTGTTGTTTGTTTATCTGTTTTTACTTTTTAACTAAATGACTACTGAAGTTATTTATAAATGTCTAATCATTTGAATGGATCTGTGTAGGGCAAAATGACTCATGATAAGTTTGATTTGATTTTGATTTTTTAAAAAGCACTGACATTAGTGGAATTTAAATTCAGAGCAACTGACATTTATTCTAACTGCTACCATCTCCTGTCCCAGAGGACTGATGGAGTTAAAATTCTCTGTCCCTAGCCCCCACTCAAAGTCCTCTTTCAAATCCAAGAAATGAATTAAGTATTTGAGGGAATTGACCCAGTTTTTTAATACTTTGTTTTTGGATGGTATCATAAGATACTTCTTTGTATGCTACTTAGATTTTGTTTGTACTTTAAAGACATTTGTTAAAAAGACCAAGAACTCAAATTACAAGTTTTATCTGATATTAACAAATATGTAAACTCAGGGCTAGATTATAACTGAGAACGATGGCGGGCCAGAGCTCCTAGAACTTCAATCTATATTCAAAAACTGACATGGGGTCATTATATGAATAAGTAGTTCAAGAAGAATAAGAGTAGGGAATAGATCTTTATTCTTACTCTGCCGCTAAACACCTTGGTGTCTCAAACAAGCTACTTAATTTTCTGAACCTTGACTTTTCATTAATTTCAACAAAGAAACAAAGGTGATCTTTATGGTATTCTATAAAATCATGCCTTACAGAAACAAATTACTCTGAAGTACTACAGTTTAAATCAACTGAGTTCTGTTTTTAAAGGGGAAATAGGATTAAATTTGATATCTTATCATTGTCTAATAGTTTCAGAACTACCACAGCCATATAACTACAAAGGCAGAGTAACTCACTTCTTGTCATACAACATAGTGATGAACATTTATAATTCAATATGATGTGATGGCTCCTCTTTGAAAAGCCATTCCATAAAAAGTCAATACAACTTCCAAATCCTCAGGATAAACTGATTTAATTTTCAATTTCAATTTCAATTATGCTGATGTTAAAACATCATTGTTAACTTGTTTATGAATAAGAAATATTTACCTGTATTTTAGGTTATGTGGAAGTCCTAGTCAAAATACTTATGATAAACATTAACAGAAATATTAATATAAGTGCTATTTAAATATCCATAATGGATGCCTATTTATTTTATATAATTAAAATACTTTAAGCATTTCAGTTGTAGATTAAATTTTCTTTCATCTACTCTAGTCCCTTGTTCCCCATTTGATTATGATTAATAATAATTAAACATGGTAAAGATGATATGTATAAAAGTTATAGTTTAGTGAAAATCCCCTAGATACACAAAAGCTACATAACAGATTGTTTCTAAATACTTTAAGCACTAAAAGTGAAATTACCCTAACATTTCTCTTGATAATCTCTCTGTTCATTAACATTTTTCCATCAGATAATTCAATTCCTGCAAGAGGAATAAGGACTTCTCCAATGATATCATCTCTTGAAAACCTGTCAAAACTCAAGATTGTGAAGTGCAAGGCCAACTCTTGGATCTGGGTGTACAGGATCCCATAGAATGTAAAGGTCTCATCAAAAGCCGGGTCCAAGGTCTTTCTCAGAACTCTGGTTTTCACTTTATGCTTCTTCTCTGGGAGGATCGTCATTTTGATATATGGGTCAGAGGTCATTGACTGCTCATCCATGGCTGGCAAGCCACGGGCTTCCTTGATATTCACCACAAATGCTTTCTTCTCAAAGTTGTACTCTAAGGAGAAGAAGAGGGTTCCCAGCTTCTCCTGTTTCTCTTCTGAAGTAATGGAAGTGCTGGACTTTAAGCTATCAGGGGAAACAGCCTCTTTCTCCCCTTCTGAAAAGAGCTTTGGGGTCATATTCTCCAGATCAGAAGGGCTACTAGCTTTGAGGTTTGTTTTGGGAAAATTGCCATTGAGATCTCTCTTCTCAAGGTCAAGATGTAATGAATTCTTTGGCACAGCTGGTTTATTCTTTACTTCATTTTTGTCATCTACTCCAAACTTCTTCTTGCTACTTAGATTTTCAGGATAAATATCAACTCCTTTTAGTACATGCACGAACTTATATGGAGGAGTCTTGTTAGACTTGGATGATTTTCTCTGACAGCAGATCCAAGCAAACAGAGAGACTGTGAAGACCAAGCCAAATGCACTGAAGATCCCCACCACTGTGGGGATTTCATCTGAAAAATCAAATGACCAATAAAATACATTAAAGGAGTGGAGTTGGAGATATGAGCCTATTTGAAAAGTGTGCTGGAGCTGGCAATTGCTGTAGGTTGTACAGATTGGATTACTTTCTGACTGTTCTGGGTATGAGTTATGTACACATTTCATATCACTTTCAGGAATAAACACATACACTGTGTGACATACAGAAAAGAAATACACTATGATAGAAACTTCTTCATTTCAGTAGGATTTTTTTTTGCAAATAAAATAAAAGGTGACCAGGCTTAGGTCAGGGATGAGGGATGCTAAATGACCCTGACCTACCTTTGCTTTCTCAGATAACGTGAGTTAACTATAGCATGATAAATCAGTACTAATTTCATTATGCTTTCTTGACATTTTGAAGCTTTCCAGAAGCATCAATTTTTACTATGAAACTCTAAATGCACATTCTTCAAATACTGAGAAATTTTGTATTCTTATTAGTTTGTTATTTATCCCGGATTCAATAAGGAAACATCTAGGGGCTAGTGGTTCCAGGAATTTTAAGAAATGAAGGAACATTATCTGCTATTATCACAAATTCATCAATAATTTCCACTTCAATTATGGAACACTGGTAAGAGAAATGTTACATACATTAAGGAAAAAAGAACAAAAAAAGATGAACAGCAGGGTATTGTTATTATATAACTTATACCACCGCAAACTCCTGGTATACAGACCAAAATTTCTCAAACACTGAATTATCTGAAGTACAAATCCCTAAGTGGGATAAAAGTAAAACAATGGCTACAAATGAATCATCATTCTTTGACATGTATTAAGAGTGAATATAGATAATTTAGAGTTCAATTTTATCCATAACTGATTTTTTCTAACATTTTTCCACATGGCAAATGGTAATAAAATTGAACTTGGCATTCTTACCTTAATGAGGGCACATTAAATTACTGACATTAGGTAGCATTGATTATGCATGAAGCTTATCATGCCCCATATGTAAGCATATTCCTCCAACTAATGATTAGTAACACTGTGTAAGTAAAAGCAGTATTGTTACAGCGGACACAGAGCAGCAATTGAGTCAATGTTTAATTTAATCATAGTGAATATAACTAATGTAGTATTATCTGGATTTAGTTTCATTCTTTGTATTTTTATCCCAACTAGTGAATAGTAAAGTTAGAGGTCCCAGTCAGGAAAGGGTTAAGGCTTGTTGGAATAACCCCCGAAAGAACAATCTTTTGTTACTCCCGTTCCCCATCCCCCCAAATCTTTTGCCTATCTACTTCATAATTTCAAAACTGAACTCAAAGAATATAAGAATCAGTAATGACAAATAAGAGCAGACATATATAAGAATAAAAAACAACAGTAAAAAAATTCCATAGTTTAATTAGATCAAGGAACTGATCATGTAAAGATGAAAAATAAACCTTTGAATTCCCCAAGTAGAAAAAGCAGTAAATACTACAGAAAAAGAATGAGGCGAGAGCTAAAGATAATCAGCTAAACTTAGTATCAGCTTTTTGGTTTTTCCTCCTATTCAAGTCTCTGTGGGAGGAAAAAATCCACCCCTGACTCTCCAATAATCCCAAGGCCAAGAAGCAAAACCAAAGTCATCAACTAAGGTGATTCCTTAGCCAATGCTAGGAGAACAATAAATGCAATAGAAGATGATCCTTTTTTTTTTTTTCCTAAATAGACCGATGGCCCAAGCTAGAACATATTTTTCCCTAGCACTATCTCTGAAAGTGCCTCAGTATTAGAAAATTTCTTATTTTCAAATCAGAAATCAGGAATAAACATCACAACAATATAAACTCAATCACCCAAATGGAAGGCTGTAAAAGAAACTCATTTCTGAATATAATGTCACAGATTGTCTCTATTCAATACTTATGTCATAAGGCAAAATATTCAATGTATCATGGAAAGACGCACGTACTCCCTCTGTATTCTCCACTGATAAGGTCTTAAGCTTCTGAGAGTAAAGACCTCAGTCATTTCATTCAGTTTAATAACAATTATCATTTATTCATAAATATCATTCCTTATTCACAAACTTCTATAAAATTTCCTGAAATTTTTGAATACTTGTAAAGTAAGTAAAACTTCATCTCCCGTCTTTGAAATATAATGGGACCTAAAAATATGACTTTTAATTTGAAGTACATCTGATTTTATTTACTGAGAGAAGGAGACCAATGGGGCCAAAAATTTGGTATAGGAAGAGGGAAATTGAACTGGAAAACAGGATTCCTAATTTTACTTTCCAGTAGATTTTAGTTAACTGTTTGACGTGCAATACTTCTCTCACATCTCTGGGCTTTGGTTACCTCACCTGCGAAATGCAATGAACCAAGTCAGTTCATTTCAAATACCACTTTAACCCAGCATCATAGGATTCTCTGTCTTCCACTAGCAACATATTTCAAGGATACAAGAAAAACATAGCAGAGAAAAAACAGCCTTATGGTAAACTCCAAAATAAAATATACACCCCAAACCCCCAACATTCAAGTTGTTTTATACTGAGATCAAACCCTTATGTAATCACAGAAACATTGGCTTGTCCTGGTAAGTTAAAAACAGATTTACCTACAAATAAAAATCACCTACAGAATTAATGAAACCAAAAACACACAACAGACTCCCTTTCCTTTACGTAGCGCGTGCTGCGATTTACAGAGCTACATGAACGTTTAGGAACTTCTTGGATGTAAAATCTCCCTAGCAGAAGGCAATTTTGAGGAGAAAGATAGCAAGGAAGGGAGAAACAACAGAGATAAGCCACGATTGCCCCTTTACAGTTCTCATTTTCTTTCAGATTACCTACCTAGGAAATCTATATCCAGCATCCCCTGAAAACACAACAAGAACAACACCAACATCACAGCCCACTCTGGAGTATTCAAGAAACAACCACAGTTTATAAGTTGAGTAACTTGCTTACCAAATTCTTCCCGGCTGGTAGTGATCGGAGCCATTTTTTGCTGCGTGTTCTGTCCGAGGTGCTGAACGGAAAACTCCCTGGCTTGTTTCACTTGCCTGGATCTGAAGCGCTGGCTTTCCTGAGTGCTGAAAACAACAGCGGGAGCTCAGGGGACCTGCGCCTGGAACGGGAGGAGGCAAAGAGGGAGGTCCACTTGCTCTCGCACAGTGATTTGCCACCCCTGTTCCTGTTTTGGCTCTTCTGAGAAGCTCGTCTCTGAGACACTAGACGTGGCTGAAACCCGAATTGACGCAATCCTGACGCTACAGGGTTGAAATCAGCACCTGCCCTCCTCCCCTCCGCCCTCCAAGCCTCTCCTCTCCTTTTTTTCTTCCTCCCTTCTCTCCTGAGGATTCAACACATTCTCATCAATTATTTTAACTGTTGGACTACTGGAGATTAGCTCTGCTACTCTGTGGGGGCTCAGAGGCACATGGAGATGAGCCCCCAAACTCATTCTTGTCAGTTTCTAATAGAAAATCTTCTGATCATCAAGATCAGTAAAAGCGTGTCTGTGAGTTATCAGAATAATGAAATTTACAGAGGTGATTTAGGGTAAGAATGAGAAGAGAGAAATTTCTGCATCAAATGAACATTGTGACATGCAGGAATATGTTTCTCCCTTTCTGATTTTTTCTTTGATATGTTATACCTAGGTTAGAAAAGAATCCACTGCACATTGATCCATTTGAAATAAGACAACAGTTTTACCACTATAATCACTTATTTTCTAATAAATAATCTAGACATTTTGCTAATGCTGTTGCTCCATCTGTCTATCAGCTCTCCTCCCTTTAATATCTGACATTTGACCAGTTAAAGTACTTAGGAACAGATGGGAATAATCCCTTCTATATTCAGACTCACTTTCAGTTATGACTTTTGCATATAATGAGACTGCTCCTGGAATGACATTTCTGGTTAAAAGCCCTGACTTCTAAAAGGATTGTGCAAAAGAGTTACAAGAATCAGACCAAAATTGAAAATGAATGAAATTGATAATTATTTGTTATTTTCAAAGGAATATTATTTTTTCAAATATATTGTTTTCTGAACTGATGATATTTCTGGGGTTGAGGAACTGGAGAATATCTGGTGCCAGATTCTGATTAATTTTAATCTGAAGAGTGTGCCTTTTAAAACAAATATTTAGCAATTTTCCAAAGGAGAGAACTCAGGTTGTAACTCCAACTGTCAATTATTGCTCCGCAAAGAATTCCTTTGCTCTGGAGCTCAGTGAGCAAATGGCATTCGGTATGTGTTGGGATGGGGGAGAAGGGGGGACTGGGTGGCTCTCAGAAAGCTACTGTACAAGTGACAGTTTCCTCCACATTGGCAAACAGTCGCTCTGAGCGTCAGGACTGTGTCTGGGGAAAAATTAGCTTCAGTCTTTGCATCATGGAAAATTTTATAAACCAAAGTCCTTTTCTTTCCCTTTCTACTTGCTCCCACATACTTGGCATTTTAACATTCTTCTAACAGATTTTAAAAAACCTTATATTGTCATGCTACGAAAACACACAAATTAATTTACTGTATTTATTTTTTTTCCATTGGCAGAACCTGTATTTTGTATCCTTATCTTTTCACTTCATTCACATTACTTGCTTCCTCAGTTAAGCATGAACCTAGTGGGATTGTTCCTAGGAATAGGCATTCATTAGATGAAAGTGGCATTTATTTGTTATGCATATATCACAGGTAAACAAAATATATGGTGTGAGGCTTACCAGAATGTGTATTTTCTGGCTAAGTTATTGCTACCATATGGTTAAACTCATTTGTTGTAAACGTAAGTACCTTAGTTGTATGTTTTATATAAATTAGTATTTCATTAATTTTACCTTCAGGTGGCAAATGCTGTCATCTAAAACCTGTCTAGACTATTTAAACTCTGTTTCTACAGAACTCCATCCCACCATGGGCTGTCTCATTTCTAAGGACACATTGTGATAAAATTACCTCTTGCCCAGAGCTAATGCTATTGTGAATATAGTAACTGTTTCACTGCTTGCTTTAAAAGCAAACAGAAATAAATGTTATTAATTAAAATGTCAGTTGTTTCCCTCATTGTCATTTGATGAACAGCATATTCTTTGTTATCCAATCTCTTTAAACAAGCTTCTACCAGCACCAGATGAGAAGTGGGAAGATGATCGAACACAGAGGAAAAACCTGTAAGTTTCTTACGTTTGCTATTTATACCCTACCACACTATTACATTGTTCTCTTTCGATTCAGCAAACAAGTAATCAATTTGCTGACGTGAACAATACCATTCTAGCAGTGGAGACTTGGGAGGAGGGGTTGTTGCTAGGTAACCACCTTTTTGCCACCCAAAACACACAGTCTCAAACAAGTTCCCTCCCTGGGAAACAGACCATTCTGTACAAGTGGCAGTGTTTACTTCAGAATGATTCTTTGACTGTTGAAATGGTTCAGTATTTACCCTACTTAATTTTGGATTCCGGTTACAAATATCTATACACACTTTGAGAAACAATGAAAAGAACACTTGAGTTCTGTTTGTTTTTAAGAAATCCAGTTGAATTTAAGACTATTGATGATTCATTATATGATTGTTTCCATCCATTTTAATCATTTAAAAAATAGTTTAATATATAGTTTGATTGATAAAGCTTATACAGTTTATTAATTAATATAGTTTAGTCTGTATTTTCTCTGGTCCCTTACTTAAAAATAGTATTATTAGATGTGTTTAGGATCTTCTGCTAGGCAAAAGAATATCTCAAAAGGTTTTGAGAATGTTGTGGTGATCTTCAGTAATCTTTAGTAATACCCAGATTAGTAATACAAAGGCATTTTACTGGTATGTGGGTGGAGTAGAATGAAGTATCTGATAATGGAAAATGGATAATTGTTTTAATGTTCCAAATCATTCTATTAAGAATGCTGGCTCTGATGTTAATGGAAAAGATTTATATTACAAGCACACCCAACTCCAAATCCTGCAAGACAAATGCTTTCCCAATTAGTATCACAAGAAATCCTTTCACTATGAACCACTTGCACATTTGTTTTTCTTCAACATATTCAGTATTTACTCTGTGACAACCTAAATTAGGATTTGAGGGCTCATGAGTGAAAAACTCATTAACCCAAACCACAAAAAAGCTTATCATCTCTCTTCTTCTTTCTTTCATTACACAATTATTAAACATGTACTAATTCTTAGGTTTTTTGTAAGTAGGGGATATATATTAGATGACAAAAATGATCCTTATCCTAATGGAGCTTACTGCCTAAAGGAAGAATAGACAGTTTTCCCTCAGAACTGGGAAAATAGATGATAATTACATTTATATTTCTTTTGCCTGGTATTTCCTATTGAGATTGGTCAGCAGTACCATCTTCTTATACTGCATGCAAAAATAAATCCAAAATGAATTAAAGAACTTAAATGTGAGACCTGAAACCATAAAAATCCTAGAAGAGAGCATAGGCATTAACTTCTCTGACATCAGCCATAGCAACTTGTTTTCTGAGGCAAGGAAAATGAGAGCAAAAATAAAGTATTGGGAGTACATCAAAATAAAAAGTTTCTGTACAGTGAAAGAAACAATCAACAAAACTAAAAAGCAACCAATAGAATAGGAGGAGATATTTGCAAATGACATATCTGACAAAGAGTTACTAACCAAAACATATAAAGAATTTATAAAACTCAACACTGCGGGCGCCTGGGTGGCTCAGTGGGTTAAGCCACTGCCTTCGGCTCAGGTCATGATCTCAGGTTCCTGGGATCGAGTCCCGCATCGGGCTCTCTGCTCAGCAGGGAGCCTGCTTCCCTCTCTCTCTCTCTCTCTACCTGCCTCTCTGTCTACTTGTGATCTCTCTCTGTCAAATAAATAAATAAAATCTTTAAAAAAAAAAAAACAAAAAAAAAAAACAAAAAAAAACTCAACACTGCAAAACCAAATAATCAAATTAAAAAATGGGCAGAATACATGAACAGACATTTCTGCAGAGAAAACATACAGATGGCCAACAGACATATGAAAAGTTGCTCATCATCACTTAACATCAGGGAAATGCAAATCTAAACTACAATGCTATATCACCTCACATCTCTCAGAATGTCTAAAATCAAAAATACAAGAAACAACAGGTGTTGGTAAGGATATGGGGAAAAAGGAACCCTTTAGCACTGTTGGTGGGAAGGTAAACTGGTGCAGCCACATGGAAAACAACATGGAGAGTCCTCAGAAAGTTAAAATCAGAATACCTTATGATCCAACAATCACACCACTAGATATTTACCCAAAGAATACAAAAACTCCAAAGTTTTTGTTTTGCACCCTTATGTTTATAACAGCATTATTTACAGTAGCCAAGATATGGAAGCAGCCCAAGATCGATGAATGGATAAAGAAGTGGTATATATATATATATTTTTTTTTTTCAATGCAATATTATTCAGCCATGGAAAAGAATGAAATCTTGCCATTTGCAATGACATGGATGGAGCAAGGGAGTATAATGGTAAGCAAAATAAGTCAGCTAGAGAAAGAAAAAAATATCTATTAGTGCATTCATATGTGGAATTTAGAAAGCAAAACAAATGAACAAAAGGAAAAGGAGAGAGAGAGAGATAAACTGAGAAAGAGACTCTTAATTATAGAAAACAAATTGAAGATTGCCAAAGGGGATGTGGGTGGGGGGATTTGTTAAATAGATGATGGGGATTAAGAAGTGCACCTGTTATGATGAACAAGCACCAGGTGATCTATGGAATTGCTGAATCACTCAATTGTTCACCTGTAACTAATATAACGCTGTATGTTAACTAACTGGAATTAATGTAAAAACTTTAAAAAAAGGAAAAAGCAAAGATTGGTCGGCAATATAACACCGCTATTCAGTCTGTCCTTATTGACCCTCTTCTTCAGAATTGTAGATTCATTATTATTGTTAGAGTCAGATTGCTTTCTTCCCCTTTCTGTTTGTACATATCTTCTCTCTCTTTTCAAAGTCAAAGTTTCATTACACTATAAAAGTTTCTGACTTACCAGTACTCAAGGATTTATTCTGATTTAAATTCTTATAGCACTACCTCTACTGAAATCCTTTAAAACAGGTTGACATATTATTAGCTATATACCAACAATTTCCAAAAAGATAAATCAAGGCCTCCATCAGTTCTCATGCCAAATAATCCACAAGGTTCCCATTTGTTCATGATCTTCCTCTCACAAATTTTTTCATGAGTCCTGACCTCATTTTATTTTTATATTCCAGGCCTATTTTTAAGTTGTGGTCTTTGAAGTGACT